CATTACCAGCAATGCGAGTCATATTGCGTCTCAAATACCGTACGTCAATCAAAGATTACTTTCAAAATGGCTTCCCGAAGATACAAAGAAATGTATGGGATCTGAAATAAAATCTTATTTTTTGGCAGTTTAAATAAATTAAATTCTACGTGCCGACCTCTCGTTGATAAATAATATGCAACTGCACTACGAAGCGAAAGTTTTTTCACCGTTTCGTTTATTCGTCGAGCCGCGGAATAGAGGTAAAATAACAAAGATCTTCGGTTGTACTTCCTTTATAGTTTCATCCAAATACCTTCACTTACCTTCACTTCCATGCTTTGAGCTGTCCGTGTGTTTCATGCTTTCATCGGTGCCGACCCCTCAAAATTTTCTTCAGTTTACGATCTTTCAAATACGTTAAATAAAGCCTTCCATGATAAAATAGGAGGCCGCAAATCAATCTTGAAAATAGGGCTTTTTCACTATTAGACGTAACCTTTACCTGAGCTCGCGAATGTCCTGTAGGACGCGAAGAACGACCACTTTCCATCGTTTTCTTCGTGAAAAAAGTCGCCATATTTACTTCAGCTTAGCAGCCTAGCATTTCCACGCTTTTTACCGCTGTTTTAACAATCTGCAGACTCCTACAAGCGCCAAATCGCGCCAATTATAAAAAACAAAACTTGTATCACTGTGAGCTCATTCCAGTCTGAATCGTCAAAAAATGTCTGATGTTTTGCTCGATTTCGAAAAGAAATCCCTAGAATTTCAACTTAAGGTCACTGAATCTCCTCTTTCTTATATAAAACAGCAATGCGTTCAAGAATCTCGAATAGCTCTGGCAATATACATCCCGTATCCAATTTTGATGAAATGGCATGAGCTTGTTGGAATAAAAGACGAGAGAGGAAATGAGTTAAACTACATTGACCTTCTTAATTTTTGGATTCCTGGTCGATGGTTTAAAGTAAGCAAGGAGAACGGATCAAGAATCCACGGAAGATTGAGACGTGAAGCCGGTGCAGTTGTGAACAAATACACTGGGAAGAAAGTTAGTGGAAGTAAGAGAGAAGAGGCAAACAGGAAAGGGCTAACCCTTAACATTTATGAAACTGAGCTTGTGGTGCCTCATGAAATAGAAGAGAATCTGTCTGCTGCAGAGCAAGAAATAAAAGAATGGAAATTGAGGTACAAGGATCTTGAGAAGGAGAAGGAAAGCTTGGCAAGGGGAATGATGGAAGCAATAAGAAGAAAAGAAAATGAAATGGGAGAAACGGTCAAAACTACAGAGGAAAAGTTCAGAGATATTGAAGAAAAAAATAAAGAACTTTCTGAGTACATACAAAATTTAGAGAAAAAGACTGGTTTTCTTTGCCAAGGGAAAACTATAGACAGTTTGGGAAAAAGACAGCAATCGAGAAGACTGAAGGAGCTGAAAGAAAAATCAGAAATTGCCCTCTGGTTTCTTGAGTCACATGGACTCAAGCTGTCTTTTCTCAAGGTCCAGGAGGCAGCAACTAATGAATTTCACACCCTGGAATTTGACCAGTTGTCAGCTAATGAGACTGACCAGAACAACCTAGAAACTCTTCTATTTTTACTGGACAAATTCTGTGCAAGTGATGAACTTTACCATGAGTTGTCTCTTTTGTCTGAAGATTTACCAAGGACATATTTGATCAAACAAAGGAGGAATGAACTGAATAAACTCTGTCATATTGAAAGAACACCAGGTCAATACCCTGGTGCACAACTTTCATTTTCTGAAACTCTACAAGATCACATCAAACAATTTTTGGAGTCAAATTCAAACCACAAAGGTGATGAACCAATAAAGGTAAAGATCAGTTGTGATGGTGCGAAGATGTCGAGGTCAGCAAATTTTATGATAATGTCATTCTCACTCCTTCAAACAGGGGATTTAGTTATGTCATCAAAGGGCAACAGGACAATTGGTGTAGTCAATGGCCCTGAAAAATATGAAACAATTGAGACATCATTTTCAGAAATTATCAATGACATAAATTCTGTGAATAAAAATGGGAAGATCAAGGTTAATGACAAAGAAATAGCTGTTCAATTATTTCTCGGTGGAGACTACAAGTTCTTGCTGATGGCCATGGGGATGTCTGGGGCTACCTCAGACTATGCATGCCTTTGGTGTAAGGTGCACAAGCTTTTCAGGTGGGACATGTCCAAAGATCTGTCCCATTATAACGAAGAGCTCAAGAGAACACTCCAAGAAATTAAAGAGTTAAGTTCCTCTTCAAAGAAATTTTCATGTGTGAAAAGTCCATTGTTTACTATTGAGCTTGACCACATTATTCTTGATGAATTGCATTTAATGCTGAGAGTAACTGACAAACTGACTGAAAATTTAATCACAGAAGTAATGGAGAAGGATGCAAAGCAAGATTTTAACATGGCTCGGGGTAAGGAAAAGGGTGTAAACCTTGACATTCTCATTAAAACAATCAATGAACTCGGCATAACTTTTTCTCTCTGGGAGAAAAAAAATGCTGATGGGAAAGGCAGTGGAACATATGACTGGACTAGCCTTGTTGGGTCTGACAAGAAAAAGCTGACAAAACTTTTGCCAGCAAAACTCGAAGAACTAGATATCCTGTTCCCAGAAACAAAAGAAACAGTCATCAAACTCTGGAAAGATTTTTATACACTCTACAGTTTAATCAACTCTGATTCAAATGCTGGTGACTTTTACCTTGACATTTTCCAGAAATCTAAAGACTTTGTAAATTTGTTTTGTTCACTTGGTGGTGTTCGAATAGGATATGAAAAGAAGAGAGTGACTCCTTACATGCATGCATTAGTATATCATGTACCAATGTTCATCAAAAATCATAAAAACTTCAGACAGTTCACTGGTCAAGGCATTGAAAAAAATAATGATGATGCCAAGAAAATATACTTTCAAAAATCAAATAAGTGGGATGCGGCTCAGGATGTTCTGCTTCTGGAACACAGGCAGGAGGCACTAAAGCACTGCGAGAGAGAAAAAAGGCAGTACACCAAACGAAAAGCAGCTTACTGGGAGGATGGCATCATCGAGACACGAAAAAAAAGAAAGAGGGCATGTTTAAGAGAACTACAAAATGACCACAATGGAGCTGATGTACAAGGAAATAACTTAAGCGAAGATAAATACAACAAAATGACTGTTAAGCAGTTAAGACAGGAAATCAAATCTATAGGTATTAATGTGAAAGGGATTGCAAAGCTGAAAAAATGTCAATTGGTTGAGATTTTGAAGCAAAATCAGTAACTATGGCAAGCAAAGGAACAACAGATATGCAGACATGTATCACAAAATATATTTTTTAATTTGATTATTTGCAAAAATATCTTGTGAATAATTTTTAATGCTAATATGAATACTAAACTTTTGTTTGTTTATATGCTTACAACAAAATAATAACAATAATTTTGATATAGTGTATTTAATCATAAAGCATATAACTTTCTTTGATTTTCAATTGTTGCAATCACATATTCCACTAGAAATCTCTGCAAAATTATTTTGTAGATTTTCTTGTTTTATATTTATCTGTTCTAAGATAAATTAAATGTTTTTACAATCGCATGCTTTCCTGTTGACATATATCATAACTTTTTCAACTGGAAAATTTGGAGCAATTTTGACCTGACCACTGGATAAAACGTAACGTTTTTTTGAATTGTTAAGGACAGTTTTTAACTTAACAGGAAAGTCAACTGCTATTCCTTGTCCAAGTTGATTGAAATAATAGTACCAATATGGTGGAAGTTCAAATCGAGTAAAATCATTTTTTTCATAGAGTATACTAACTCCGTCTTCTGCTCTTTTACCTTTTCCTTTAAAAACGTATCTCACAATATCATGATCCATTCTAATTTCAGTGGAATAAAGAACTTTAACCGCATTCGATTTTAGGATTGAAAGAATGCCTTCCAGAAATGCAACTGATGCGCTCTGTAGTCTTTCCACGGTAACAGTGGGGTTGCTGTATGCCCTAGAAAGTTTTTAATGCAGAAAACAAAACATAAGATTGGAATCGAAAACGTGTTACGGTTAAGACGATCAAACCATCTTCTATAATGAAGCTCACATTTAAGCTTAAAATCACCATCGAAAACAAACTAAATATACCTGATAAGATGCTCATTCAAATGAGCCGAAGGCTCCCACGTGCTTGTCCACAATGGCCAGTCCTTCCATTTTACTAGGTATTCAAAGTCCTGAAATTGTCAGAGATTGATTAGAGCTGTTTATGAACTTACTTCGATTGTAGTATAAATTTCATCCGAAGTAAAATATAGCTGCAGGAACATAAAAGGGTCAATACACATACCTCGTTCTTCAATCTTCGCCGGCTGATAAGTCTCTCCACAAAATAAACTTTAGATCCGCTTTTAAATTTTCTCCTTCCTTTCAAATGAACTTCTAAATCCACTGTAGAAAGAACATTTAGTGCTTTATAATCAACTCGATTCCTCCGCGGAAATCTACTTCGCTCCATGTTTACATGAAATCTGACGCCATAGCGCATGAACAGTAGAACCTGAAGAAACTACTGACCTCGCGGACCGCGGGAGTAAAATGTCTCGGATTGCTGGTAATGTATTACT